GGGGGGGGGGTGGGGGCTCGTACTAAAGGCACTGAAAAAAATAATATAAAATTTGAATCCCGGAAATGGCATTTACAACATTCTGATTCTGAGAACACATTTTGTGAAAAACTAGGTTTTCAAAACAGTGTTTTAATGATACGTTTTGTCATAAATCACATATTATTTATTCACAAAATATTTACATGATTATTTACATGCATTTGTGAATGGAAATGCAGGTAATTAACACACCAATGACAGTGTAAAAATTTATTCGCTAAGTGAGTGAAATTTATTTGCTGCGCATGCTTTTGTTTTTGTTAACATAAAATTGGAATGTTAATTGAATTATCCATTGTTTTTGAGCATAATAGTTTAATACGCATTCAAATATTATTTTGCCACTAAACAATAGTACATAAGCTTCAAACAACAAAAAATCGACAATGACATTTAAAAAGTGCTTATTGCAAAAAAGTTGACCCCCTATATAAAATGCGTATGTTTTGACATGTACAGTACAGAAACATATATTATTGTGTGATTTGTGTTATTTGGTACAAGATTTTTACAGTCTTTCAGTCCTTAGTGTTTGCCACGACTGTGCTTGACCACGGTGGGAATCGAACCCGCTCAGTTGGTAGAGCATTGGCAGGAGTAGTATCCCAAAAGTTGCAAGTTTGTTTCCCACTGTGGTCAGGCAAATTTTCAGCTTGATCGGTGTGTAAGCACACACAGTGTAACATAATTTATTATTAAAATGATAAAATTACTGGATGCTGATTGGTTGAGAGGAGTACAATTATTTCATTAATTGTACTGCAGTACAATAACAATTAATGATTTTCCCCAAACAAACAAAATGGCAGAAAGCTATTTTAAACATGCACCAATGTATTAACTGGAATTGCCCTAGAAGAACTGGATGAAAACAAAAAAGCAACAAATTTTGCTTTAACAAAAGAACTATAAATTAAATGAAAATACGAACAAAAGCACAATGTTTTGGTTGAAAGTCTGGCGGGACTGCCCCCCCCCCC